GCACATTTGTGCTGTAAAACCATAGGAGGGTTAAATGCACAGCTGACCTTCAGCTAACAAAATCCCTACTACTTTCTCTGTGGATCCTGCGGATAAGCCTGTGTATTCAAACTGGAAATACAATGGGGAGGCTGCAATCTCTCTTACAAAACCAGCATGGTATCATTTGCTCTAAAAAAAGGATACTATGAGCAAGCAGTTCCAATGACTGACAAAGCATTTTGATTTCTTAAGGTGTGGTCAAAATGTTCACAAAAGAAAATGCAAAGTGAAACGTTTACATACCTGTAGATTCATTGCGACCTTGACACATCGGTGCATGTTTTACTCTTAGTTTTCACACCAAGTATGGACTGAAGGTATCAGCTTAAACAAACACTGACTCTCACAGTTCTTTTTAGATGCTTTTTAGATGTTAGAAGCGCTGATAAAATTCTTCCCACCCATTTACAACCTATCCCATTTTAAATGTAAATTTATATCCCATGTATTTGTAGTGGTCCTCCAAAGAGGTATTTAAAAATACAACTTTGTCGAGCCTGCAAGTGTATTACAGGTTATTCTCTTACATGCTTTATAAAAAAACAGTAAGTGCTGGAAAAGCAATGGCAAGGCTGGAACCTACCGGTACATGTAACCTAACAAGTCGGCATTAATTAGCTATGCTGAAAATGTACATTAATTAGAATAAATAAACAAGTCGGCATTAATTAACTATGCTGAAAATGTACATTAATTAGAATAAATAAAAAAAAATTGTTAGTTATAAAAGAAAGATCAGATCTTGAGTTAGTATTTGTAAAAAGCAAGACAATGTTTATGCAAATAGGATCATAAAGAATGATATGCATTTCTTCATAGAACTGAAATGTACAAATATGTTCAGATCAAGAAACTCAACAACTACACGCACTAAAACAAGACATTATTTAAACTATCAGAGAGTTTGCATTAGGATTAGGATGAATATGGACCAAAAATATCCAGTCCACTGGACGGAGATCATGCCAAATGTGCATGCATGAGTGAATTTCAAGGTGCAAATTAGTAACAAAGGAAAATTTGGAGGGTCGCTTGCTTTGTTTAGTCATGTTATAAAATCTTTGGAAGATGAGGGCCGCTGCACTGTAACTGAACGGTGCAGCTGCATTGGCCGTGGGCCAGCTTTACGAGAGAGAGAAACAAGGCAAAGATGAACTGTACATGGCTAGCATCCAACTCGGCTAGGAGCCTGTGCTTAGTGGCAAACAATGCGGATCTGACCTGATCTCGTTCCCTCCGCAAGTCCTCCACCTCCTTCTCCATCTCTGCACAAGAACAGAACGAGAACATTTTTAGCATCATCGAAAGTCCTGGAGAGACTCGGTATTGCCAAATGTAATGCAACGTGTCAAACCTACACAGAACTGGGCAAAGCTGGGCAGGGCAAAAAAAAAGAATAAAGTGGGACAGTTTCTAGTGGTGGCAAGATTTTTTCCAGTTTGAGAGGAGGCTGGGAATTCACTACAGGCAGGGTGACACTGCATTTTCAAATAATTTTTTCTCCTCCTTTAAACCTGTTAAAACTGTCTACTTTGATAAGACCGTATCTCAGGGTCAGGGGCTCTTTCGGATGACTCAGTCTTCATGCGTTTCCACACTTCTCGATGTTTCTCCTTGTTTGAAGCCGTGCTAGCCTCCACAGACCAAAAACATCCATTGTTTAATTTGACTTTGACGTAATCCTCCAGGAGCCCATGCATATACATGTACATGTAATCTTATCTGCTCTGTATTTGGTGATTTGTCCAATACCGGTACTTGACACTGGATGGTTACCTAACTTGCTTGTTGATAAATTGCTTGCTCACAGACTCTACACATACATGTACCATATAATATACAGTGATATGGTATACTAATTTGTTGGTTTTTCAATCTACAACGTGAAGAACAGAATGACTGATTAAATGAAATTAGAGTTGGTCACTGTATCTTACTTACAGACTGTAACTCCTTGAAAGAACAAGGTAACAGTAACTCTTCAAGTAAAGGATATCAACTTAGCACCAAAGATTTATCATAGTCCCGCGAACATTCTTTCTCAGAACAGTGCCTGACACTAATGCCAAAGGGTCTGTCCATTCATAGCCGACGGAGATTGTAGGCAAGGAGAAATTTAAACAGTTTCATTTTTATTCAACCTCGTTTCCCTGAACTGTCTCAAAATCAGCACCTGTTTTTGCAGGGTCTTGATTGATTAAAGACTGTGCAGAGAATCCTACATTTGTAGTTCATTGTCTAATTTTGCTCAACTTAAAACAATGTGCTTGTGGATTTCTGCACCAATAGACTTAGGTTGAATCAGGGAGGTCCCTCACACAATGCCTGGTTAGTTAGTTAGTTAGTTAGTTAGTTAGTTAGTTAGTTATTAAGTCTGCACAACAAAGTCCTTAAAACCTAGTCTGTGAGTTCCTGTTGCAGACTCTTGGGTTCCTCATTTCACACTCACTTGACAGTTTTTCTTGCAGTGGTAACACCTCGCCTTTCCTCAACCTCTCCAATTTCTCCCTACTGTCGTCCGTTTGGCTCTTGACCTGGTCATACTCTGCCAGGAGCCGAGCATTCTCCTGCCTCTCAGCATCAAGCTTGCCGGCCAGGTCTCTTTTGACCCACCGCAAGGTCTCATTCTCCTGCATGCCCTTGGCCTTCTCCGCCTTCAGTGCCTCCACCTGCAGGGGAAATAACGCCGCCTGCCACTTGATTTTTTTTTTTTACCACAAGGGTAATCCCAACATCTCTCATCAAAAATAGCGGTGGAGGGTTTCCGATGGAAGTCAGATGAGGCAGTATCTCAGAGAATTTATGACATCGATTTTTGGTATAGGAAAGAAAACGGAAGGAAAATTTGAACCTGCAATCTCTCGAATACTACAGACTCCGTGCAGAAAGAGTACTAGTACTCAGCACTGCACAAATACAAACAGGAGCTCTAATGTTTGGAATGTATCGATTGCAACCACTGAACTGCAAATCAGGCCAGATATACAAATGGAATGAGAGATTTGCCCTGTATTTGGTAGCCAGTCCTTCATCCTCAGTACTTTACAGTGTACCTTCGTGAGCGTGTTATATAAAACCAACGGAAATGCAATGTCTATGTCCTCCCAGACTAAGTAAAAGTTGGCAGAGCACACACGGTGAAGAATGAAGAATTAATTTTTAGTTGAATTTGTACAATTCCGCCTTGTTTTGGCCTGGTGGCTAGGCACGACAATGACGTTCGACTGTAATCTTCTCCTCACTGTAAAGAGTCCATAATGGTGCAGCAATTCCAAATGCAAGGGGTCCGAATGGGCACTTTTTGAAGATCTGTAGTGTGGCGGTTCAACCTGTCAGTCTGTGGCAAATACTCAAGCACTGGGCTGATTCATTTAGAAACTACTGCAGTGAGACACAGGTAGAGCAAACACTCCACGAGAAAATGCCCTTGTTCCTAATGAACTTGGTCTCAGCCCACCTGTTTCTTGAGAATCTCGGCTGTTTTGCTCTTCTCTTTCTCCACCTGCTTGACTTGCTCCAGCTCCACTCTCAGCCGCTTGCAGGATTCATCCAGGTGGTTGAAATTGCGCTGGGACTTCTTCAGGGCCTCTTGCAGCTCTTTCACCTTATTCTGTGGTAGCACAAAACCATTCATTCATGTATATGCAATGCTGACTTCTAACCTAAGCCAGAGAGTCATACATGTACAGTGGTCTGTTCCAAAACAACATAAGGTTGTTATATTTCAGTAAACCTCATCGAAAAGTTACACCTGTTTGAGTAGAATTCTCAAGGACGTGAAATACACGTACTTATTTAAAACGTGGAAGGGGGTAGAATATTTTTTGAAACATGGCACTGCTGAGCCACTATCTCCCACAACCAAAACAACAAACACCCACAGCAATTTCACTTCTTTTCTTGACACTACCATAACTCGACATATTATCTTAAACCCAACATGTACAGAGTGATTTCATCGTCTGCAAATGACACAGCAAAAGCCTTCTGCCAAGGCAAGTTGCAAAATTTTCAGATAATAACTGGGGATTTTGTTCTGGGACTTGTTGATATTCTGCCCAGTACCTATCCCCATATTCCAAGTTAGATTTAAGTCACTGTAATCACCTGGAGGTCTCCTGCCTCTTTAGAGGGTGGCGACCCAGGGGTGTGCACCGGGGTGGTGGGCGGTGATGTCGGGGACGAATCGCCTGGCTGCTGCAGCAACTGCTCCAACTGCTCAATGCGCTGGGTGTAGTCTTCTACCTCCTGCTTGTGGCGGCGGCCGAGGGTGGCCAGCTTCTGGGAGTGGGCATCTTGGAGGGCTGACAGCTCCCGCTGGGAGTCATCAATCTCCCGGCTGAGGTCACGCTCCAGTTCCTGTGGACAGGAGAACGAAATAAAAGAAAACCTTTAAGCCTGACGTGTGGACATCCTGAACTTTTAGCATCAGAAAGAAATGACTTCAGATGTGTAAGGCCGTAACTATCAAGGTCCCATAGTCTCATCAGTCTTGTGATTACTGTCCTCTGAGAAGCGACAAGAACAATACCCAACTTCATGGACCTGCTATGCAGAAAATTAGCTGAGAACAAGTCGTAAGTAATACTAAGTGTACGGCACCTTGGCCAGTAGCCCGCTTTTGCTGAGCAAATATTTTTGCTACTTAGCAAATTCCTGTGCCAAGCTGCTGTATGAGATTGGCCTTTGGCACAAACAATTAGGCTCTGTACAAATAATACCACATGACATGTATACATGCATCACTTGTATCAGAAACGTGCTTAGTGGCAGCCATATGTTAATGTACATGCATCCTGCAAAGAGATGTGACAAGGGTTTGGAGTTACTTTCAACTCAGTTCATAATATACGTGCACGAATGTAGAAAAACTGAGCTCACGATGACTGCGACAAACATCAAATTGTATTGGTATCGTGTCATTTCTGAGTGCAAACTTATAGGTTGAACTCTTCTCTTAAATACACTGCCTCATCAGGACTTCACAGTCAACAAAGGGAATGCACTGCCTCTCTCTTCCATATGAACAACCGTGCACAAACATCGCAGGTTCAGCAACAGCATGAAAGCTGATGGGCTGCTCATTATTTCAATGGCTAAGATTACAAGTACTTATAATCGACCAATGAATATGCTTGGTATGACAATTTACCAAATACAAAGAGCAAGCAGTTACTCACTCCAACACTCACAATTTTTGTTGACATTAGGAACCTGAAAATGACGACTTTCTCAACTATTAATTAACACCATCTTCAGGTGGCTGTACCTTTATTCTTGTCTTCAGCTGGAGGATTTCTTCGGCACTTGAGGAGCTGGCACCATCTTTATCAAGACCGATCTCAAACATCGGCTACAAGATTAAAACACATTACATAATTTTATATGACAAAATAAGCAGAACAAAAGATCTCTGGCTTGAATAAAAAGGTTATGGTACAGACAACCTTGCGGCAGTTTAAGGCCATGTCAAATGTTATGGCTGGGGCCAGAAACACCACACACACTAACCCTAACCCTCCAAGGGTTACTGGCCCTAACCTTCCCATTGTTGTACACAGAGGCTGTTGGACTTTGTTTTTCTGAGGTATGCCAAACCCAATGCAAAAGCCAGCTGTTATGGGCCTACCAGACCCAACCCACAGAATTAAACACTTTACTACTGTTTAATTCTGTGTGGTTGGGGAAGGTTGGGGCTAATGGAAACCACTGGCTATTGTCTGTAATTTAAACCTACATATCTAACTGTTAGAGAAAAAAATCTTAAGTACACTGTTCACAAGCTGTGCAATAACGCCTAATTAATGGGAATATTTAGACTGTATTCTGAGATTTTCTTGCTGACTCACCCCTGTCTTGTCCCCCTGGGCGGTGACACTGGCCATCTGTCTCCAGTGCTCGCACTCCGACCGCAGGCGGGACACCTCATTGGACAGCCTGTTGATCTCATGCTGGGACGAGATGACGTCGCCAAAGTCGTGCTCGTCCGAGGACACCAGGGAGCCAGAGAGCGAGGACGTGGAGGTGCTGTGGGTGATAGAGGCCGCCGCTGTGGTGCTGGCCGCTAGCATGCTCTGCTGCACATCCTGCAGTGCTTGTTGCTGCTGCTTCAGCACCGACAGCTCGTCCTACAGTGCAACAAGAACAACGTTTGAATGTATTAATCACGTGCACGTGGTCACAAGAGCACATACACTGCATGCACGTGTAACTTAGCCCCAAATATTCCACTTGTGTGTTAGAACGGCACCTTTATGCATGCTCATATCCAAACATTGAAATAAGATAAAAAAATGATCACCATTGTGAAAACGTTGAAACAGGATGAGCTGTCACGCCTAGATTTTGTAGAAATTGGGCAGGGGAGACGGATTGGGAAGTTCCGAAGATAAAAGAGCATGGAAAATAAGAGAAGGCTTGTTTAAAAAGTCTGGTTGACAAAAATGTTCATCTTGAATAAAATGTCATACCGTGTCCATCTCTTTTCCATATTTCAACTTTTTCCCCCAACATGAATGCACACAATTTACATGTAGTTTAGACCAATGACTTACATATACCAGTACATGTATAATCTATCCTTACCAAAATGCTGTCCAAAGCATTAATTAACCCTCCTATGCGGAAGTCACTCTTTGGGTCACTCGGTAAGTACCTCAAAGAAGCACAGCTGTGTTGTGTTGTGAACTGCACCAACAGTCCCTCACAGGAATATCAGNNNNGACCCTGGGTCACTTTGTGCTGGCAACCAACTGTGTATACACAGAACCTTTGCATGTTTGTTTTCCATATAGAAAACAAATGCAAGAGAGTGACTGTGGGCACTTGTGCATATTTGTGCTGTGAAACCAAAGAAGGGTTAACCTTAAAAATAATCTGCATCTACTGGTGGATTGTATTGAATGTGGGAGGATAAAGAGTACTGCATACATGAGAAACTACTAAACAGAAAAGTCCATTCAACTCCTTTTATACTTGTGTGATCTTTTCACACAAGCTCCACTTGCCATTAAATCATACATGTACCTGTTTGGCCTTGTATTCATAATTTACACCTCAAGGCAATGGTAAAAGGGAATCCCTTTATTAGAGCAAGCAAATGACTGCTTCATCAACTCTTACATGTTTTTCTTGTAGCACTCTCCGATACTGCTGGGAGATGGTGTTGATTTGCAGCTCCGATGCCTCTGCCTTGTCGGCTAACTCATGGTTTAGGTCCTTCAGGCGCTCATTCTGATCCAAATGCGAGGGAAAACGTACATGTACGACTCTACTTTACATTTTTTGTGACTTTCAAAAGATATGCCATTTCAATGCACAAGGGCAAAACAACTGACTTCCAATTCCACGCCTCCATTCAACAGCAGTATCATATTGCTTACAGGACACACTGGAATGGTTAATACATGTAAATGACTCCTTAAAGTTTCTTTCGTGACGATTTTAATTACAATGTACCAGTACATGTACCTGTTGTTAATGTTCCTTCAAATGACGTTCTTGAAGGATGGATGAAATAGTTGGGAATACATGTAAGACCCTTCTTGGGCACTATCTACAAAAAGTAGTTTTCGGTTCATCGAATACAGCAGGCTAGACCTTCCCTGGATGGCAAATCTTATTCATACTTTCATGTACAGTGTATGTTTTTTGCCATTATTTTTTATGTACTTTATGTCCCTCATTTGCATGAACATGAACAGAAATAAAATAGACGTGTAATTACAGTTTATTCATATGCAGTTTTATAACTGGCTCATGAGCGAGTGATTGTAAACCATGTAAACCATACAACAGCATGCACGTACATTCCATACATAACTAAGACACGCTGGTTGATTCCTGAAATCAGGGGTCCATTTTTTTGTATCCATGTCACATCTGACATATGATTTTGTAAATTCTGAATACATTTTCTAATTTCCAAGAGTGATGAATCAATGCAAATTAATGAATGATGAATTAATGCAAACCTGCCCAACAAATAGTAATAGTTTGAAATCAATTCCGGTGATAATTCCATATCAAATATGGTCAGACACCAAAATGTTACACTTTTGGAGCCCTAATCTCTCGAATTACCCAGCCACACTGATGTATATACATGTACCTCTGATCGTTGTGCAGTGACAAGTCCTTGCAGTTCCCTTATTTTGTCCTGTGCAATCTTTAGTTCTGTGCTCTGATCTGGAAGAAAAACAAATTCAAATTTAAATATTACTTTTGAGACTGTACATGTACTTGTAAGGTGTATATTTCTTAGGTGGCTACATGTACTTGGACAGTGATAAGGTTTGTATCATAAGGTACATGTAGTAGAGATGAAAAGCTTTACTTTCACCTCACTGTGCAGCTTAACTAAGAACCTTCCTCAGTCCAGCGGATTGCAAAATGTGAAACGGGCCCAGGTCGTTTTTTTTTACCAATGCAACAACTGCACATGCAGTGAGTGGTTTGGGGGATTTACTGAGACAAATCTCTGGTTCCATGTTTAAACTACACATCATAATGCACAAGATGGAACTCTGGCCTCATGCAATTCAGAATTTACTGAACTTGAAAGGAGCCATGAATCATGGACAGAAAATAAAACAGCCAGTAAAATCTACTGCAAATTTCAGTTTCTAATAATTTTGAGATTTGGGGGTTAAGAAATGCAAAGTGGTAAAACAATGCAACCAGACTGGGGCAAAACATGCACTTCATTAAGAATCTCCCTGTACCACCGATCATGAAAATACAGGAGAAATATCCTGCAGTTTGACTTAACATGCTTAAGATTTGATTTAAAAATCTTTCAAGGATAATAATGTGACTTTTTGGTAAAGAATACAATACATAAATGGAACTTCAATCTTGAGGTGTGCAACTACAGTCAGACCTTATGATATGTAACTGCGCTATATGTACATGTTCATTTTATGAACATGTACATGACTATACATATATTTAAAATATAGTCACACTCTGAATGGGGATGTGAGAATTCACTCCCCTCCGGCATGCCCGGGTGGCCGTAATCTACATGTACCAGTCAGGTGTCTACTCACCGCTGACTTCCTCGGTTCCCTCTGCCAGCACATCGCGAGTGAAGCTGGCAGCTGTGTTTGCAACGTTCGACAATTGCCCGGTCAAATTCCCTGTCAGATTCTTTATTTCTCCAAACCAGGCCATCTTTTAGCTACACACTTTAACATCAAATATTAAGAATGAATGTTACAGTTTTCAGCATGATTTACGCTGAAAAGTGACATCAAATTGACACGTAATCCTCCTCCACGTAGACTTCCCACGATTTTTTTCTCGCGCACTGCCAACACGAAACCAAAATGGTTCCTCGACGACATGTACGATCAAAATGAAGAATAATCAGGTCTACCTGACTAGGAATTAGGGTCACACAAGGTCATCTTTACTTTAGTCTGTTTTTCGCGTGTATACACCACACACGTATGTATGTATATAGGCCTCTGTAAATGCAATTATATTTGGCGTTCCATACACAGCTGCATAAGTACATGTACATGTACTGTACATATCCCCATGTACATGTACATATGTACGAGCATTCGCTAGTAGAAGCAGCCGATCGCGACGACGTACAGTACGTCTGTGGTCTGTGCAGTGCTAGCTGTAAAGATCCGTCTACCTCTGTCAATAAACATTTGTCCATCAAATATGGACCTCGATGATAATGTTAGAAGCATTTTAACATGTTTACAAAATTTCCTATCAGACGTGAGTGTGTGTACATATGTACCTCCATGGTTAAGTGTTAGCTAGGCCTATGGGCCTGATTGAGTATGGGTGCGATTCTCGCGGTTGGACATGTTGGAGCATGGGTTGGAGGTTGTTCCCTTCCTATTGCACTCACGTGTGGGCAAAGGGGCAACTCTCCATTCGCTTTGTAGGGGGTTTTGCATGTTTTCCTCCTTTTTTGCTGCAGTATGATAAAAATTACTGAAACCTTTTCAGTACTGTTTGGGAGATATTCATAGCGCATATGATAGAAAGTGAAATTTCAGGCACATTTGATGCAAAGCCATGGTTAACATGGTTAACGAGTTTAGTCAATAGTGCCGAGGCCTAATTCAGATTTTCCCCATAGACCACAACACTATTTTTGCCCCTTGGAGTTTGAGTGTGAAATATGGAATATAGCCACCAATTGACCAATCAGAGAGAAGAATCAAGACTCGGTGATGTCATCCCGACTGTGAGAGTAGAGTCATAGGTGTAGCCCATTGTTTACTAATGTTACAGCAGGTTACATCTAAGCCTGTGCCTAAATAAACCTAGTAATAAGCATGATCACTAATACTCAATTAGTGCTCACTGTTTGGTATGACAGTCTTAGGTATGGGCTTCCAAGTATTTTGAAAAGTCATGCAACTTGCGAGTCTTTTTTTGGCTGGCTACATGTATATTTATCCCATCTTCCAAAGGGGGATTATGCCATAGGCCTAGTCTTTACATAATTTAAATCATTCAGTTAATGTGTCCGTACAATTCTGTCAAACTTGAAATGGATTGGAGCTGTGGAGGAAAAGGCTGAACAATCCTCGGAGTGAATACTCTCTCTGAAGTTGACTGGAGAACTATTAGCAACCCTCAAACATTTCAAATTTGGTGTCTTCTGTTGGTATTTTTGGTGCAATGTCTCTTTCAACAGTGATTAGCCCCAACAGGCAGCACTCTGAATTCAGTTCAGTTCGTCCAAGTTCAACTGGGTCTGAGCTTAGCTTATCAAGTGCAACTTGGGCCGGGTTTTGATCAGTCTTCATGGAAAACATGAGTACACATAACGTCCATGATGCATAGTTGCCAGGTCCCTTATTTTGCCACTTAAACTTGGCCAAAGGTGGCGGAATTAGGGACCTGGTGACTTTACGGTTCTGCATGGACATTAAATTTCACATTGAATGACAGAGTCAAGTATTGGAATTGAAAATAAATTACTTAATTAAAACTCACGAGTTTAGCTTCTACTGAAGCAGGCTGTAACTGCACGTAAATGTGATTGATTTGGAATTGTTTACTTCATTCAGACCAACCTTTCCTGCAGTGTGTCACTGACTGTGGACCCCTCTGCCATATGCAGCATCAACGCACAACAGCTCAACACACACCTGAAGAAACTTGTAACTTCACTGCAGGTCCGAAATTCAGTGCGTTAAATTAGTAAATCAGAGAAAATACAAATGTAAGGGCACACATGAATGTATAGTAGCTCAGGATACCAAATGGAAGCTGATTTAGCTGAGTCAATTGTAAGATTGGTGAGATACATGTACATACCTGTAAATGGAAATTGTTAAGGGAATTGACCTTTACAAATCCCCTTTAATATTGAAGTCATCGTTCCTCTGTCCAAGTTCCCATGTTTACTGAAATGCAACTTGGTGTTTTTAAGAATGAACCCAGCCTGGGCAAAGAGGCTGCATTGACTGAGTACACGTTCTTTGGATGAATGAGTAGAACTAATTATAACTTGCTCAAATTTGGATAAACAGATTCCCGCAGTGATCAGAACCCTAGATTCTCTGATTTCCAACCTTTATTTCTGAGGTAAACCCAACCAAGGACTTTTCTGCGGTTCTGTGGACCCATTGTACATGTGCTTATTCACCCGTCTATTGGACCGGCAGAACCTCATTCTGGTTTGGATGAGTACTGAAGCAGCTTTATTTTTGAGAAGCATGGGCCAAGTAATTTCACTTGAAAATGACGCTATCTTAATCAGTTCCAAATAATGACAAGAATAAGATATGAAACAAAAAACATGCTCCTTGTAAATCAAGACAGAATAGTAGCACTTATTGGACTCTTCATACCCAGAGTCATATTGATTCAGAAGAGTAAAACCAGTCCTTATTTTTGATTGTCCTGAAATGGCAAAAGCATTGTCACAGCTCAATACATTGTTACTTCCCATGCTGTGCAGACCTTGGTCCATGATCATATGACCGAGGATGAAGATGAAGCCATCCCAGGGCCGATGGAGTCTACGGCATCTCACATCAAGGACGAAGATCAGAAGCCAACCGTACCATCAGATCTGTCCATGGTCCAGATCAGTGCGTCAAATGCAGAGGTATGATAAACTGGATGTGCCTGAAGCTTGCAATATGCTGTGAGCACTTGGTACAGTTGGGTTGAGAGAGTGGCTGTGCTAGCAAGCTTCATTGACCCCTCAGATGAATCATTTAGTTCTTGTCCCAGTATGGCAACTCCATACAAATAGCGAGCAACAGTGTGGTAAAGATTGTCACTGAACAGTTGATGATTACAGGCTGTGTTGGGAAGTTGTGGCTGCTACTTGAAGTAACTATTCCAGCTGGCAGCTGCCACCACTTTTTGTAGAGATGTTCCTCTCTTGGCCACAGCCAGATGATTTTGACATGGCCTTGCATATCTTGCATTATACATGTGTGTCCGTTGCACTTTTTATATTACACACGTGCATCCGAAAAGCCCATTATTTCTAAGGTGCTTAATCTGAAGCCTGCAATGAGATGGTTGGATAACCTTACAGGCCTGCTCTTTTAGAGTGTGCTCCTTTCTTCAGGAAGACTGGAGAGCCTTGGAGCTATTCTTTACAGGGGGTTCGATGTTGATATTTTGTTCAAATAGGATAGATACAATGCACTGCCCTTTTTGGTTAATAATGCAAAAGGTACCAGGGCAGCTAACTCCTTAAAATGACTCAAACTCCTCAATGTGGCTTTGCGGGTTTGAAAACATTGCAAAATACTTTTGTTTTTGTTGCAAGATCGAGAGACGAATCCGAGCCTTTATGGAAAAGAAACAAATGGAGGTGGACGATATCAACAGGAGAGAGTTCTACACTGTCCCCATCGTTTCCAGACACAACCAGCATCATGTCAACAGCTGTGCTCGCACAGATGCTGTCTTTAGACCAAGGGCGGGCTGCAAGAGCCATGTTAAGGGTAAATGTCTGGCCAAGACAAATTTCAAGAAACTTTCTGTGAACTCAAAGCAGGATAGGATCTGAATGATCTCTTGCATAAGAGAGTATGTGGTGTAGTAGTTTAGTGTTAATAACTCATGATGATAGGGTCAAGGGTTCGAATCCAACTGCTGGTTGCATGCTGTGACCTTGGGCAAGTCACTTTACTCTTACCTGCCTCTCTCCATCCAAGAGTATAAAACAGGTTTACATGAGGGCAGAGATAGTTATTCTATTTGATGAGCCCATTGTACCTGAAATGGCTACATTTGAGCTGTATGTTTGTGTGAATACACCCCTCAGGGAGCTGAGATGGTTTTAAAACTGTTACTGGCTTTATTAAGCAGGGAAAAAGAGATGACAGTGCATTGAGGCGCTTTGTAAGATGCACTTTGTAAGAAAGGTCTATTATTAATATTATTCTTACCATTCATTAATCATCATTTCCCAGTCTTTACCCATTTTGCAGATAAGTTACTATTTTGGTTTCCCCTCATATAACCTCATTCGTTTAACCTCTTGACAGTCTCCAGGGTGGTGAATGTGCACGGGCCGCAGACCAGACCCACCATGGTCTCCTACCGTCCAATGTCTGGGCGGTCACCAGTCTCCAAAGCCAGACGCTGCCTGTCCCGCCTGAGCTCCCAGCAGGGTATCGAAGAGAGGCTTCACAATATGGAATCCCACCTCAAGATCAGAACGGGTATGGTGATCCTGTTAGTCCCTTTTCATCTAACCTCTGCTAAATAGGTTTTCTGGTTTCAAGTTAACAATTCACATTTCATTGTAAGCGACATGAAATGCCATACACCATAAATTTTTCTCTCAGATGTGTAATTTTGTCAGATTTTTTTTAGATAAAAACAAAATTGCTTTCATGTTTGTCTGTTACTGCATCCAAGTTGAAGTCCTCCGTATTTCATTTTGATGGCAAAAATGATTTGTGGCTGACCCTTGCCATTTTGCCAGGTGAGGTCCCCCGGTCAGATGTGTACCAGAGACTGAAGGAGTTGGAGAGCCGAATACTGCACCTGGAAGGGCTGTCACCAGAATACTTTGATGCCGCAACAGTACGTATCGTGAACAGATCAGTCCGAAGATCACTTTGCACTCATGAAGTGCACTTGATTGTAAATGTAGGCTGTGAACAGGAACACCGTTGTAGCCATTCTTAAGATGAGATTTAAGCTTTGCATGGTTGAGGAAGCAGTGCTGGTGGGGTCACTGCAGCACTCTATTGAAATATCTCCTTTGTGAAATGGCAAGGGTCAGAAAAGTAACATGGGCTTCAACAATTTGGGCAGTATGCTCTGCCCATTGGCAGGAACCTTGTGAAAAGGACCAGGAAACCGCCTCAATTGTTGATTCCACACATCCTGAATCTAAGATGAACCAGTGGACTCACTGTAGCATCGTGGTCTGCCTGTTTCCTCCAATTTCCGACAGTGACAGATAGACTACCCAAAACATTGAGTCAACTGGCTCATTTAAAATCCTCCCCCTTCTCCTAATGATGGACAGAGCATACTGCCTGAAACTTTGAGCTCTTTCCAGAACGTCTTTAACTCTCAAGGGAGATATTCCTCCATGGTGCCACCACAAGCTTACCAAAGTACATGTAACTAATGCTTCAACCTAGGCTCAGGTCTACGTTTCTTCAGCACAAATCACTCTGAATGACTACACATAGCTAAACCTACATTAAGAATGAATAGAAAGGAAACAAATTCATTGCTTCTCTGCTTTTCTTTGTACCAGCAATCTTTGCTGAAGCAACAGCAATCAGAGAGTCTCGGCTCAGATTCCTCGGACTTGTCCATCCACGAGATAGACAGTCGCATCAAACAGCTGCAGGAGTCGCTGCGGAGGAAGAGTTCGCAAGCCAGTCACTTGCAGAGTAACAGCGGTGCACCTGCCTCGCAGAAAACCTAAAAACTTTGCGGGCAGCTTATAGTAGTCAGACATGTCCTAGATGTTAGGCAAGGATCTGCAATCCTGTCAGCGAGTGGTTCACATGGTACTTTCCAGTGTTGTCACATCCAGCACAAGGCATTTTTCACAAGCCCAGAAACCAGTCCTTTCACAAAACCAATCATTTGTCAAAGGGAGACAATGACAAAGGAATGTTTTTGCCGAACATGAATAGCTATTGTGACTTGGGTCAAGACTAGATGACTTGTGATGGCTTCCAACAACTTATGGACCCAACTACAATACTGGTATTCTTGCCATGTGCAGCTAATGTGCCATTCAAATGATGTTTGATTCTAAATATGAGGCAAGACAGGAATGCGTGTATTTCCATTACAGTGTTTTGTTTTGCTTAAGAAATGCTGTATTGTTGCAAAATTTGTGTGCATGTACTGTCATAACTTGTATAATATATGTGAGTTTCAGGGAGTAAAGATTTCAGATTGCTCCGTATATTAATCCCTTTGTGACGGATGATGGTAAGAGCCACCGTAAAAATTGAGATCCTCAGCCCGCTTTTCAGCTATTATTCTCGGCCCACGCTCAAGCGCACATAGTGAAAGAAGGCAGACCCTGGCTCTTGTATATATGGTAATTGGCCTTTGTGTGTAGCCCAGAAATGAATAGACCGAATTTGCATCATAATCACCAGCTTCACAATAGTCCCCACTTTGAAAAGAGGCAACAGGAATGTGGAAGCATGAGTAGAGCCGCATGCCACCGAACAATGAGCCTTTTCGCTGTGTAATTCAATTCGCTGCAGAGCACGCAGGGCCACAAACCAAGAATTTGCGGTTTGGCAGGTGGCCTTCTTGGCCAAGTGAGGCTGGAATTCTCGGAGTCAGCTTTCAGAAAAAAGTTCCCGTTGTCAAGAGGTTAAGGATCATCTATTTTCATTTAGGAAACACAAATACCGTATGCTTTGGGTTGCAGAACGACAATGCCAAGTACAAAAAGTTCCTTTTAGTGTTTTTTTTTTCATTCATATTCTTTAAGGGGGGATGTCCACGGAAAGAGTGCCTATAAATGTAGTTGTGAAAATGAACAAAATAGATGACCCCTGATTAAAGTTGCAGGGTTAGATATGGTTCAAAGCAGTTTTTCAGTGCCTGGATGAAATACCCAGTTGGGGATGTTTTAAAGTCGTGCTAAAAGAGGACATGTCAGTATTGCTGCATTTGCCACAGCAAGCAACAACTCTTCATTCCTACTGCTATATCTGCACAAATTGTGTCTCGCCGTTCAAATAAATTCCTCAGCTGAAGCTGAATTGTGAACTGCCTGACTCTGTTAAACAGTGGTTAAGTTAATACATGAAAGCAATGGAGGCATCAGTCCTACTAACCTTTCTGTCCCGTTTCAGTGTTCATTTATTTTGTGGCAACACTGATTTACATAAATAAGGTATAAAAACCGCTATCTGTTTTGAAGCAAAAATTTACAAGTCTCGACAAAGATCACAATTTATTCTTAGCTTGATCACATTTAAGATTACAAGGTGCACACAAAAATGTACATGGTGTAAAATACTTGCTTAGCCAGTTTTTTTACATAATATGAAAATTTCATTAGCCACAGCCAAATCTGCAGTTAAGCAATCTTACACGTAGCTGTTTCAGCAGCAGATTCTCAGCAATAGGCTGGTTTTTGCTATTATTAAAAACACAGCTTAGTGGATACTCTCACAGATGTACAAGTTTGTACTTGCAGTGAAGACTCAAGTTTCAAAAAGCTCCGAGTTTTAACCACATTCATTTTCAATTGAGGACCTCTGGCCGGCCAGTGGTTAGTCTGTGGCATACCTTACGCATGTGAACAAACTGAAGTGTCAAATCCAATACCAAGTAGTCGGTCTCACTATCATTGGTCAGTGTGTTTGACAGAAGTCAGACAAACTATGGTTACAGCTCTTAATTCAACTAGCTCAAGGCTTAAACTAGGTTCAATTTATTCATGACACTTATATAACCCTAACCCTGGGGTTATTATATTGAAATTGGAGGATTCAGGACAGTTAGGGTTCATAAACCTGTGTTGACGAGAGTTCTCACCAAAGAACCACTGTAGCTTAGTAAAAGCATGCCGTCTCTCGTTCCTACTCAGAGCACATAGTTACATAGACTTGGCCACCCAACTATATTTCCATTAAGACACTGATATATTTGGTAATAGCTAGGAGGTAGTAAAATCAGTTTTTAAATGAAGCGGAATGCCACCACGACTAGCATGGAGCCAAAAACAGAACGAAAATGGACACCCACGTGACAGACTCGGTGAGTTACTAATGTGGTGAGATGTCAAAAACAAAACATGGAGAATATAAACAAGTTCCAACTGACTTTTTTGCCACCGTGCAAAGCTTTTACACTTACAAATCACAGTTGCTGACAGAACTGCTTGAATTCTTTTCCTCGCACCCCAGAATGAGTCAAGTTTGTAACGCACCTCTTGAGTTTTCATAGTTTTTGTCTCTGTTTGCCTGCACCCAATCAGTCGTAAAAGTCAAAGTCGTCCTTGAGGTCGTCAGATTTCAGGGTCCCCGTTCCCATGGGAACACTCATCTCGGATTCCTCCATGTCCGACTCCTCGCCCCAGAATGCTGCTGACCGCTGCATGGGGTCACTGCGACCGGTGGACTTCAGGCTGCAGAGCAGGCATAAATGAAATACACAATTGCCACTTGAATAGCACCTACAAGGAATTCAGATGCATTCACATAATCTCCGCCACAATGTGAAAGCCTAACAGTAACGGCATGACCGACCCACAAGTTGTGGTTTAATGGCAGGGTATTCAAGAATGCAGGATTGACTGTGGCTCAGGCATGACAGTGTCTGATCAAAGATCTGCGTGTCATACTTGCTTCACTGCAGCCGGGAGTATATTGCAGACACATGTACACTACCTATGACAGCAAGGTGGATAATTGATAATCATACTGCCAATGGACAATCACATGGACGGCTTCAAAATTAGCACTGAAAATTAAACCGAATTACTTGGCTACGGCTGAAGGGAAAAAACAGACAAGTCTATAAGGAATGCATGTCTGTAGCCGCTGGCCACATGCTGGCTAGTTGCTTCCATTGGCACCTGTGTTGTGTCCAGCAGCAGTCAACTAACTCAGGCGCTGCCTTTGACTTGTCTGAACTGACCCCGGACCCTACCTTTGCTCCATGCCAGAAGGGACGTAACCTGAGCCTTTCGGGCTTGGCGAGGGTGACGGGGAGCTGATGAGATCGGACACCTGCTCTGACCGGCCGGTCTCTCCTCCCTCATTCCCAGCACCGCCCCCGGTGTCCTTATCATCACCATCATCACCATAGCTCAAGCCTAAGCTGCCGCTGCCTCCAAAAGAAGACAGGACATTCCTCCTTTTCCTGCAAAGTAATCAGTAGGGAAGCAGATCACAAATTGAACCCAACCTATCAAAATGAGTCACAAGCCGTAAAAAAATGTTGCACGCTGTAAATGAACAGGAACCCTTCATGCACAGTCCATTTTCACCAGCATGCCAAACTGAGTAATAGGGTCTGCTCTTTTGACGTCACAGTTGAGTTTTTCCTTCAAGTGGCTGCTAAAACTATGGATGGCCATTGGTACAAAAGTAAAAGAAGAAATTACAAAGTGTTCAAAATCCCACGCAGCTATCAGAACACCAGTTAATGATACATGTACTACTACACATTACACCTCCAATGCTGAAGTCACTCTTTGGGTCACTTGGTAAACACCTCAAAGAAGCACAGCTGTGTCGTGTTGTGCACTGCACCAACATGCAAGAGAGTGACCTTGGGAAAATGTGCATATTTGTGCTGTAAAACTAACGGAGGGTTAAATGAAAATACAACCTTATTTAAAATCAATTAGACACATCTCCGTATTGAATGAAATGGGGGTGAAAATCAAAAGGTGATATCTCTGCCAACTTTGGCCGCCCATGCAAGTTGAAAGCAAATGAGAGTGGTCTATATGTGAAATAGAGCTCAGTTTGCTCTCTCTTATATAGAAAGTAAACCACATTTCTGAATAAAATGGCATTGTGGGATCTGATCACAAACTCTGAACTCCCCTCCAAAAACAACTGACACAAAATTCAAACATGAACATGGAAATATCTCAGAAAAATATATGAAAAAAGACAGCACAAACAACGTTGATAAATTTATGTACTGTGAAAAATGTCTAAACATCTATACTGTAAAGGAAGAGGTTAGAAGCATATCTCAACTAAGCAGGGGTATAAATTTTTTCAAAGCCCTAAGCATTGCATGTACATTGGTCATGTCAACAAACTGCAAAGGTTCATAATTAAACTGGCAATCAGCCAGGAAAGCGTTCCAACGTTTTCTCCATCCATCCATCTTACTTGTTTCTCGAGGACGGTGGTGTCTCGGGTGTCAGTCTGGTTGCTCTCTCAATTTCATCATCTTCATCATCTCCATCACCACCTGACAACTCCTTATCCCCCTCCTCAATCTCGCCGTCTCCCTTGCCACTGTCTTGGCCGGCCGTCGTGAGACACTGGGAGCTCTGCGTCAATTGCTGGTAAGCCTTGGTCTCTGTCATGACCAAGATATTCCATATTTAGTTCATTCTGAAGGCATCTTATGCATGCACCATCAGGCAGACACGTGAATAAGTACAGAAACTGCTCAATATACGTGAGGGCATTTACGACCATAACCCCAAGACGTATAAATGGAATCCATTTATAACAGAATGTCTGAAATTCACACATTAGTGCGTTATAAATTTGTTGATCTAAATTCTAAAATGAAAACCTCTGCAAAAATTTCAGATACAATTTGTTCAAGAAAAAATAGATGCGAGACATTTTGGCTTTTAGTGAGCTTCTAATGTCCTTAATAAAAAGCACTACTGATGAAGACTCAAAGAAATGAAAGGACTTGTAAAAAGAAACTCAAGAGCCAAAGAGCGCTAATTGCCGATATCCGCTCTATTCCGCACTAAAGGGTTAATTCAAATGTCAATCAAATTTGTTCGTGGCAAGTGAACCATTTTTAACTTTACACAGAGCTTAAGTGACTGACGACATGAGAAGATTTCTGCATACCTGTGAGCGGAACTGCAGGTTCATCAAAGAAGCTGTCATGGCTGACACGATTGGTCTCCAAGTCTGGGGTTTCGAGATGACTGGATTCACCCAGGTCCAGAGGCGGCACTTTGAAATAACAAAAACAATTTGAAAGCCTTGAAAATGTTTTTGAAAGGCTCTTATTATCTATATCGTATTTTGTGCACCACAGATTCTGTCCAGAAATTCACGATGGGGGCAATTGTCAATGCAGGCACAAACCTGTACCACCAGTCATACTTCTGTAACAAGTCTACATCTTGGCAGACATGACAGACACTTGGTTTCCAATTTTTGGGGGCCACTTAATCTACTTTCAAGGTTTCCAAGTACACTCTGTATTTCTTTAGTGGCATAAGTAAGCGATAAAGGACAGAAACTGTATGATAACAAATGTAAAAAGTCAACCACTGTTAACCACTACTCAACCAGTTGTTAACCACTGGTTGATTTTGCCTGATGCCCGGTGTATATTTCATGCATAGGTTACCAGTTAAATGAAGCATTGGTTGACTGTTCATTGTTGATCAAACTTTGCTCTTTGCTGAAGTGGCCTCATCAAGACACATGTTATGGTTCCTATAATTACGCAGTAACCAGTGAGAAATGAACCTGACAAATGCATATTCATACCTAGCACTTTCACCGGCAACCTGTTTCGCTCTGCCTGTGTAAATCCACAGGGCACCAGTGTGTAATTTTATCCAATGAGAGCCAGGGCCTGAAATGGTGTCCTCAAAAGCTAAAATCAGTGGTTCAGGTCAATGTGCCAGAAGCAAGAGGCTGACAACCTCATTACTGACCTTCGGGAGGTGCCCGGGGACGATCCCCTATCTCATTATGATGGGGTGTGTCCAGGTGAGAGGGCGTGGCCGAGGCAGAGGGCAGGGTGGAGTACGTATCATCCAACTGACTCTCCTCCTCCTCAAGGTTCTGCAAGATGGTGGCCAGCACATCAAATGCCTGTGAGGGCACGAGATGGTTCAATTGTCAATGTCACTGGTTGTTGGTCTCCTAGATAACAGTTCTGCATCTGGGACTTCACTGAGGGAATTGTCACACACCTCCGTCAGGAGGTAAACTTTGTCTGAAGTACTGTGTGGACTGCCTTCTCAAAGGAGACAGAGGATGGGCAGAAAGATGAGAACAGAACAACCACATTTTATGATGGTATCCAGAACCTGTGGTGTTAAGTGATGTAGAGCAGTGACAACAAGTTTGATAGAGTTCAGTTGCAGAACTAAGACAATGTCCGAGCCATTTTCATCAAGATGAGACCCCAAAAGCCATTTCCTCACCGAAAATGGTTACTAGCCAAAAATGCCAGTGATGCATATTCCTTCCCAGACTCTCTAAAATCTACAGAAAGAAACTTTTGGTGGGTTTTGAGGGATTCACAAAGAGCTAAGGCACTATCATTCCACACAGTGCTGGACAACGCCATTAGCGAAAAAATGCTCCACGGGGTTACGGCAACGAGACAGGTTTGGGTAGGATTTAAGATGATTCCTTATAAAAAAAATGCCAGGAGAGAATCAACGTGCTCCGAGTAAGAATGCCTCCATCTAGTAATAACCCCCACCTTGTTAGCCAAGGTCGAACCTTTGGCGATGAGGCGAGGGGCGACGAGGCTGGCAACCTCCTCTGCATCCATCACGCCCTTCCTGATGAGCAGGACCAGGTGCTGAAGAAGCTTATCCCAGAAACTCAGGGCCGAGGAGTACAGGAAGGACCTGGAAGATGCGATGGGCAATTTCTTGGGATTGATGGCTCAATGAATGAGGACACTAGGGGGTCAACAAACTCAGCAAGGGCACTAGCCTATGTATGGGACTGTATTCTCTCCATCTCTTCTCTCCAAGACCTCATTACAATCCCAAGCTAGAATAAGATTTGTTCTTTGTACACATGCATGCTCTGAGGCAATTGTTCCCATCTGAGAAAACATTCCCATGTGGGAACTCAAGCCTGTCAAAATTACTTGACTACGGCTGGAACTGCACACATCCCCATCTGCCAGCTAAGGGCTTCATGCCTTTCTGACAGACAAACCAAGAAGTTCGCAAACGGGCATGATTTAGAACAGGCAATGTTCCCACTGAACACTCTGAGAAATCAAACATTTTCAACAAGACAAAGAAAAAATCAGAATCAATGTCCTCATCATAAGACTACATGTGGCTTCTTTGAGCACACGGGGCATATGGGCACATTACATTACATTGCTCACAGAAAAAGGGCTGTAATCCCAATTGAGCATTCTCAGGCAGGCCTTGATTCCAAATGAGTGCTCTTTGACACATTACCCCACCCGCCCCCCCCCCCCCCC